GGCAAAATACTGGAAAACAACAATGCTGTGGGAAACAATGGCTGGATCTCAGTAGAGATACAAAAATGATAAGCAACAGCTAGAAAGTAAACGCAAGTAAACAGCCAGAAATAGAACCAGAGCTTTCGGACAACACTAGTCCTTCCTCAGTGGCGAGTGAGTGAGGGTAGAAAAAGCTAGATGGTATAAAGTGAGAAGTTCATGCAAGCATGATTGGAAACAATAGGCTAGGTGAAATTAGAATAAACAGCCTAAACAAGTAAACAGGAAGGCCAAAACCAAACTTTAGAGGCAAGCCTCTAAAGTTTCAATTTGCCAACATGTAGACTAGTTATGCTACCGGATTATTGAGCCTCTTTTCTGACAAATAGCATACTATGAATATGAATTGTCCAGCATACTCAAAGCCACCGTCTATTATACACCGTCAGATAATGCCGACGTATAAGACTACACTTACATATATATATACATACATATATACATATATACATAACACATCTAGATGTGTATAAGAGACAGACATAAACCAATAATATATATATATATATATAATATATACGGTATCTTTACAGTATCTTTATTTCAAAAAATCAAACCTACAAGAAAAATCATAATTTTAAGAAGCACGTTACAAAAGAATACACAAGAAAAAATAACATAATTACAGTTACTACAATGTACAGGAAGAAAAAAAACATGGAAACGTATGTGGCAAAGACAAGCATGCTGGAATGTCAAAATTTTTGAAATCTATTTTATTACATTAAACTAACTTTTATATATCTGTATATCATGCTATGTTGTTATTTTCCCCAATTTAAATGTTAAAACAACAATTCTGAATGACTTGGTAAATGGTTTTTGCCTAAGAAATGCCCAAAATCATAAACTTAGAAGGCTGCTTTCTCATATATATTGTTGTTTGAACAGCAATATGTTTAAACTCCTGTAACTTCATAACAAAAGGTCGGATTTAAATGATTCTTTTACCATTTTATAGCTCTCATTTTACTGTTTAACATTGTATTAATAACTAAATATTGATTTTTGCGACGAGTGACTGGTTTAGCTTGTTTTTGCCACATATTCATTTATTTTCTCTAGCTTTCGTCCATAAAGTAGACTTCCTCAGGAGGCACTGTGTCGATGAAAGCTCCAGATACTGTAGTAAATTTATAAAGCAGTTGTTTTAGTGCCAAGTTATGACGTTTTTTATAATGTTTGAACAGACATAATGTGACTATACCTTTTGTTCATCATGTTGTATATTTATATGATGTTGATAACATGTCTCGGAATACATTTGACGTCAACAATGAAGGTTAAAAGTTCAACCAATAATACTTATTACAAATAACATGTTCATATCTAAAATCCAGTTAGTACACACAATCGTTGTAATGGCAAAATGGTAATTAACTAAATTACATTTAAATCCTACATGTTATGTGAAAAAGAATCCCTCCAAACCATTACCATTTGAGCTAAATCCGCCATTAAGTTTGACAATAGGAAGCTGTAATTTCATACACGATTACAAGTTGCTCGAAATCAGAAGTTGTGTAACATGAGCAAATTCAGGTCATCTACCATTACTCGTATGCAAACTGCTTTTAGGCAAGACATCTTTTTATACCTTTGTTTAAGTATTATTTGAAAGGTCTTCATAGGAGGGCAGGAAAAATATTTTCCTTATTTAATAGCAAAACAGTTCTACCAATATCATGAGGCAGAGAAACTCTTTTTTTTTTGACGAATATAAAATGTACACTAGATAAAAATTAATTGAGGGCGCCCTTAGGCCCATATTCATAGTCTCATCAGCGTTGTCATATACATAATCCAATGCAACAATGTAAACGTTTCAGTGGGTTGACTAATAAATTCTTATATTCTTATCGAGAGATATTGTAATAGATGGGATAAAAATAAAGACAATTTTTCTTTTCTGAAATTGAAAAAATAGCAGCAGATTTAAAACAGGCCAAAGATAAAATATTATTTTTATTTGAAATATTTATTGATGGCAGCAGCAGTCAGAATGGATTTTTTTTTTGGGGGGGGGGGAAGTCCCATCCCCTTTTGGAAAGTCAAAAAAAAAGAAAAAAAAAGAAGTAATTAATTGCCCAAAATGCCTCAGAGGTTATTTTTGGACGTCTAGATAAAAAAAAACCCCGTAAAATGGTGTTACCATGATCGGCCCTACTTTTGGCCCCAATATCAAACATCTCTGGATCCGACACCGACACCTGGCATTTTTGCCAATTAAGGTATTGTATGTCCTGCCTTAGTAGAACAGGGATAGCCCTGGTTTGGCCTAGGGGTACAAAAATTGAGAATGCGGAGCTAATCCCTATCCCAATGAAAACTTAACAGGCATTTTAATACTTTTACAGGTGCTCAAAGTTACTAGACCGGGAAACACCTGAAACTGCCTAGAAAACTGGAGAGCATCTAACAACTTGTTATGTGACAAATTCAGAAAACTAACTACACTACCAAAAGTGACTGGTTCTAATCATGGCATGCCCTTAATATATCTATTTCACTCTCAACCAAAAATGCGCTCCGATCTTTATAAAATAACGCTTCTGTGACCATTAACACTAAGTCTGGTACCTGCACTGGACAGGCTATGCTTTATATGGGTGGAGTGTATATCAAACACAACAGGTAAATTTTAATCTCATTAAACCGTGATGTAAACAGAAATGACACCTCAATTCACTGATCCCCCCTCATTATCAAAATCCTCTCAGTTTCACAGACTCTACAGAAAATATTCAATATTAAAGGGGCAGTAGCACATGTAAAAAAAATTGCGTGGCCATTCATCCTCCCACTTTTGAATATGTAAACATACTTATTTCTAAATCTTATGATTGGCTGGTTGTTTCACATAATATCTGAACACAACTATTGGGAGTTCTGAATTACCAGCCACATAATTACCATATAAATGTGCAACACTGTCCCTTTAAATTATTTTCTAGACAAAATTTTAAATTCAAATTTTAAAATAGAGGATTATGATGATGTCAGGACTACTGTTCATCTGTCACGCGACCTAATTAGACTTTAATCTATCAGGCAATTAGTTTATTATGCAATTATATAAGAATTGGCTTAAGTGTCATTAGTATAACCTTGGTGCTATAGTATATAGTAATAATTGTTGCCATCAGTAATTACTGCCGCATACAGCATTCAAAAATAAGATAACTATCCCAAAACCTGCAGCAATTGAACTCTGGAGGATGGGGGTCATTCATTTTCCAAGGCCAAAAACACTGATGCATAACGTTGTTGCATCTAATGTACCATAATATTATATTCTGCATGATTTTCAGATATAATAAAAAATTATGAATTTAATTATTAAGGATTAACACACAACCAATTTACACAAATAAAAACTATCACTTTTTTTTTTTATAAAGAAATGGTAAAATATACATATGTTTCCATTTTTAATATATTAATAAATATTTTTTCCCCTTTATTCAGCAATGCATATATAGATATTTGACAAAAAAAAAAGATACATTGCAAAAAACGACAAAAAAAGCGTTAAAACTTAAAATTTCAGTATACAGTGAAATAAAATTGAGCCATTTATGCATTATGCAACAACTGTAGTTCTTAAACATTTTACAGGAAATTAATAAAAGCAAAAAGAAAATTATTTTGAGAAATAAGCTTGACTTAAACCTCTTCAATTTTATATGTTTTTTTTTTTGTGTTATTTTCATTTTCTCATTTTCATATAATTAGCTTTTTCGCTTTCTCTTTCCCTTTCCCCTCCCTTATACCTTCTCCTTTTATTTCTTTTTCTTTTATTTGGTATTTAATAATATAATAAATAATTCAACAATAAATATATAAATATGTTGTCAAAATCTACAATCTAACCCCATATCATATTAGACTACTTATTAGACTACTAATCTTAATTCACTTTGCAAGTGTAGTAGTTTGCTGCCCTCCTACTGTAAAAGTTGACTACTTTGTACCATTAGCTTAAATATCTTTTATTTTTTGC